AGACAAAAGAGTTCCGGATGCAGATGACATGATTCTATATATAGAAAACCCTAAAAATCCTTCAGAAAACTATTAGAAATAATCAACTATAGCAAAGTTGCAGGGTACAAAATGAACTTACAAAAAATCAGTTGCATTTCTATACTTTAATAATGAACTAGCAGAAAGAGAACTTAAGAATACAATCCCATTTACAATCGCAACAAAAAGAATAAAGTATCTAGGAATAAATTTAACCAAGGATCTGAAATACCTATACAATAAAAACTATAAGACATTACTGAAAGAAATCGATGATGACATAAAGAAATGGAAAGACATTCCATGCACACGGATTGGAAGAATAAACATAGTTAAAATGTCCACACTACCAAAGCAATCAACAGATTCAATGCAATCCCAATCAGAATCCCAATGACACTCTTCATAGAAATAGAACAAAGAATCCCAAAATTCATATGAGGCAACAAAAGACACAGAATAGCTAGAGCAATCCTGAGAAAAAAGAACAAAGCTGGAGGCATCACAATCCCTGACTTCAAAACATACTACAAAGCCATAGTGATCAAACCAGCATGGTACTAGTACAAAAACAGGCACACAGATCAATGGAACAGAATTGAAAGCCCAGAAATAAAAACGCACATCTACGGACAGCTAATCTTCCACAGAGGTGCCAAGAACATACAATGGAGAAAGGAAAGTCTCTTCAATAAATGGTGTTGGGAAAACTGGACAGCCACATGCAAAAGAATGAAGGTAGAACTTTATCTCACGCCATACACAAAAATAAACTCAAAATGGACCAATGACTTGAAGGTAAGACTTGAAACCATAAAACTCTTAGAAGAAAATATAGGCAGCACACTTTGACATTGGTCTTAGCAGCATCTTTTCAAATACTAGGTCCACTCAGGCAAGGCAAACAAAAGAAAAACTAAACAAAGGGGACTTCATCAGACTAAAGAGCTTCTGCAAGGCAAGGAAATCATGAATCAAACGAAAAGACAACCCACCAACTAGGAGAAAATATTTGCAAGTCACATATCCGACAAGGGGTTAATTTAAAAATATATAAAGAATTCATAAAACTCAACAACAAAAAAACAAACAACTTGGTCAAAAAATGGGCAGAGGATATGAACATTTTTCCAAAGAAGATATACAGATAGCCAACAGACAAATGAAAAGATGTTCAACATCACTAATCATTAGGCAAATGCAAATCAAAACTACAATGAGATATCACCTTATACTTGTCAGAATGGCTATAATTAACATGACGACAAATAGCAAGTATAGGAGAGGGTGTGGAGAAAAGGGAGCCCTCCTACACTGCTGGTGGGAACGAAAACCGGTGCAGCCACTATGGAAAACAGTATGGGGATTTCTCAAAAAACTAAAAATAGAAATACCACACAACCCAGCTATCCCACTAGTGGGTATTTATCCAGAGAACTTGAGATCAACAATTTGAAGAGCCTTATGTACCCCCATGTTCATTGCAGCATTATTCACAATAGCCAAGACTTGGAAGCCACCCACATGCCCATCAACTGAGGAATGGATAAAGAAGATGTGGTGTATATATATACAATGGAATACTACTCCACCATAAAAAAGACAAAATCAGGGGCTGGCCCAGTGGTGTTATCAATTAAGTTCGCACACTCCACTTTGGCAGCCCGGGGTTCACCAGTTCAGACCCTGGGTGCAGACATACGCACTGCTTATCAAGCCATGCTGTGACAGGCATCCCACATATAAAGTAGAGGAAGAGAACATGGATGTTAGCTCAGGGCCAATGTTCCTCAGCAAAAAGAAGAGGATTGGCGGTAAATGTTAGCTCAGGGCTAATCTTCCTCAAAAAAAAAAAAAAAAAAAAAGACAAAATCATTCTATTTGCAACAACATGGATAGACCTTGAGGGTATTACGTTAAGTGAAATAAGTCAGAGAAAGACAAATACCGCATGATTTCACTCGTATGTGGAAAATAAACAAATACATGGACAAAGAGAATACATTAGTGATTGCCAGAGGGGAAGGAGGGGTTGGGTGTGGGCAAAAGGGGTAAATATATGGTGACAAATAAAAATTAGACTATCAGTGGTGAGCACAACGCAGTCTATACAGAAACTGATAAATAATAATGTACACTGGAAATTTCACAATGTATATAAACCAATATGACCTCAATAAAATAATTTTTAAAAATTTAAAAAAGCATTCTGGAGATGATCTCAGGAGGAATCAGAGAACTGTAGAAAGGAATGAAAAACCCTGGAAAGGGTAAACCTCAGGATAAAAGCGAAAGAATATTAATTGTTTAAAGCAACCATACCAGCCATGACTTGTGGTATTTCCACCTCTGCAGAAGCAAATATGTGACAACAGTAGCACAGCAGGGAAGATGGGCATGAATGGAGCTAAACCACTGTGAGGCTTATACAGCCACTTTCTATCCATTATAGGACAATATCAACAGCCAGTGGACTTAGCCCACTGTTCTAACAAGGGCTCTCAGTGTAAATGGAAAGAACTCTGACTAACAGGAAGAGGTGGCAAGACTGAGCCATTAACACATGCTCTCTAAAGGAGACCCACTTCAAAATGTAAAGGCCCGGAGAGACTGACAGCGAAAGGCTGAGAAAGGGATACACTTGTAGACTCTAACCAAGAGAGAGCTCGTGTGGCTGTGCTAACATCATAAAGAGTAGAATTTAAGACAAGAAATATTAATAGAGATAAAGAGGACATTTCATAATGATGAAAGGGTCCAATCAAAGGAAGACAAAACAATCCTGAATTAGATGTACTGAATAAAGAAAATACATAAGGAAAATACATAAAGAAATATACATCAAAATATATAAAGAAAATAATCACAGAACTAAACAGACAAAGACAAGAATCCTCAAACATAGCTGGAGACTTAAGTCAGCTCTCTCAGTACCTCAGAGAACGAGCCGGCAGAAGAGTCAGGAAGGATACAGTGCCAATTTAGTTGACATTTTAGAACACACCACCCAGCAACGCAGATACACACTGTGTTCAAGTATACGTGAAACATTTGCCAAAACACACCACATGCTGGGCCAAGAGCAAGTTTCAACAAGATTCTTCTTTCTTTATCCATAGTGGATGTCTATATACAAAAAAGAACTTTGATCCTTATCTCTTACCTTACACAAAAATTAATTCAAGATTAATTAATCATAAAAAGCTAAAAGCAAAAGGAAAACAGTAAAACATCTAGAAGAAACCATAGGAGAACATCTTCATGACCTTGGGTAGGCAAAAGTTTCTTCAACAGGACGCTAAGCAACTTGCTATAATAGAAAAAATCGAAACACTGGATTTCATCAACAAATACCACTAAGAGGTACACAGACAAGTCACATGCTGGAAGAAGGTACTCAATGCATATATCGAACAAAGGACTTGATGAAGAATATATGGAGAACGCTTAGAAGTCAATAAAAAAAGAGACAACCAATCTGATTCTTTTTTCCAATCTGATTTTTAAATGAGCAAAAGTGTGAACAAGCACATCACAAGAGAAGAGATCTGAATGACCAGCCAGCACATCAAACAATGTTCAACACCCTCAGTCATCAGAGAAATGCAAATTAAGACCATATGAGATGAGCAAGAAGAGAAAACTAAAAACATGGACAATGCCAAGCATCGTGTGCGTGGTGGAGGCGGCGGAGCACACTCATGGCTGTTGACCTGTGAAGCTGTACAACCACTTTGGAAAATCTTCAAAAGCTGGAGGTAACCCAATTGCCCCTCCACAACAGAATGAGTAAATACCTTGTGGTCCATTGACAGAACGGGATTCTACACAGCATGGAAAAGAACCAGCTTCTGCTACGTGCACCAACACGGGTGAATCTCACAGACTTCATGTCGAGCAAAAGCATAAATGAGAGAACACAGCCTGCATGATTCCATGCATATGAAAGCCACAAGACTGGCTGAGGCTGTAGGAACCAGAAGGGGTGTGACCTCTATGGGGCTTCTGCCTGAGAAGGTTACTAGGGGCCTGATGAGAGGGGCTGGTAGCGTTCTTTGTCTTGATCTGGGTGGTGGCTACACAGGTGAGCACATATGCAAAATCTCATCCATGGACAAACAGAACTAGTGCCCAGCATGTTCTTACTGTATTTACATCTCCACAAAAAAGGAAAGAGGAAAATGCTCATTAATCCCAAAGAAGGAAAGAAAGACCAGAAGAACAGAACAACCCTGCGGGCAGACCCTCCAAAATGAGGGTTCTTACTTTCTCCACTTGTTCCCTTGGCCGAGCCGCTCACACTGCAGGAGGGCCTAACCGCCTGCACCCCACCTTCTTTCTGTTGGCCGCTGGGAAGCGGGTGCTGTACCCATGGCACTGGGAAGGTCTCCGCCCTCAAGAGAGGGGAGGAAAGCCAGGCTCGACCTCAGGACCTCGGGCATCGAGGCGCAACCCAGGTTGTGGACAGTCAGGAGGCCAGGGCCAAGCACGATTACTGAGCCAGCCAGGTGGCCTGGCAGCAAAATGGGACAGATGTGCCTGCCCTGCCTGCCTCTGACGGCTGTCGTGGGGTTCAAATGAGGTAAAAGACATCAATGGGTGTGGAAGGTGCTTAAGGAGATGTTACCCAAAAGCACCCCCAAGGGGGATGTCATCTTGTCAGCCAACAGGGGCCTGTGGGAAGGCCTGATCCCCAACACTCAGACAGGCACCCCAATACCCAGACGGGTGCCCCAGTGCTCAGACAGGGCCTCACATACCCATACAAGTGCCCCAGATGCCCAGACAGCCACCCCAACACCCAGACAGGCAACCAGTGCCCAGACAGGTGCTCCAGACATCCCAGAGGCTGGACTTCCCTAGACACCTCCTGCAGTACCCCCAATGTCCTCTGATGGACATGAGCCCCGGGCGCACACTCGCTTCTGCTGGTCAGAGCAGTGGGCACGCCCTCAGAACTCCGAACGAGGCACACTTACTGGACGAGGGCGTAGTACTGCTGGGTCAGGTCCTTCCACTCATCCTCTGTGAGGTCCTGGACGGCGTCCTCGGAGATGTCGATGTCCTCATGCTCCCGCTGCCCCAGGTAGGCCTGACACACTCTGCATGCAGTGTCCACAAGCTGCCCGGAGAGGCCTCTGAGCTTTGATTCATCGTTCTCAGGACCTGAAACCCAAGCACAGGCATGTGGGGTGTGTACTGCACCCCCCTGTGGTGTGGCACCACCTGGTGCACTGGACAAAGGCCACCCCACCCCTCGTGCCTCAAGGCTTCAAGGGGACACCACACGATTCTCTAGGCGGGCACCCTGGATGCCACACCTGTGTCTGGGCGGGTACCACTCCCTGCTGAAGCTGCCCTCCCACCACTCTGTGCCCACAAGCCCTGGGGGGCTGGTACAAGCATCTCCCTGTATTTCTAGTGCTTCTGGAGCACTTGTACACATGGGCTCGCTGCTCTGTGTGTCTGACCTCTTATACAGCATCTCATTCTCCTTCTGGAACCCATGGGGTGAGACCACTGCTGGGTCTCGGGAAGCACTGAATGCCAGGGGGTTCCCCTCGTCAAGGTGAAGGTGGATCTCAAGCGGCCTCACTCCCACACAAAGCAACCCAGCCCCAGGTTAGGACGTGGAGAATGGACTGAGAACAAGCACCCATCCACGGACTATGGGGTAGGACCCTGGAGGTAAACCCAGGAACAAGGCTGCATGGAAAATGTCTGGGAACAACTCTGCAGACAACGGGGGTCAGGCATTGCCCGAGAGGCAGCCCTGACGGAGAGCAGACCCTGTGGCCCCGAGATTAGGAGCCAGGTTTATATGGTGGCTGCAGAGATCATGATACGCATTTAGAAGAATGTATTGAGGGTCGGCCCAGTGGCGCAGCGGTTAAGTGCGCACGCTCTGCTTCTCAGCGGCCCGGGGTTCGCCGGCCCGGATCCTGGGTGCGGACATGGCACCACTTGGCAAAAGCCATGCTGTGGTAGGTGTCCCACATATAAAGTAGAGGAAGATGGGCACGATGTTAGCTCAGGGCCAGTCTTCCTCAGTGAAAAGAGGAGGATTGGCAGTAGTTAGCTCAAGGCTAATCTTCCTCAAAAAAAAAAAAAAGAAGAACGTATTGAGGTGAAATTCACATAACATAACCATTTTAAAGTGAAAAATTGTACTTCTTGTTTCCAATTTGGCATGTAAGGAGCTTGGAAGTTGCCATTCCTTCTTAACAAGTAAAATGTCGGACAAACTGAAGAATGAACAACTCTTCTTAGATTCATCAGAGAAATGAGGCCACAGGCAGATTGCTGCCCCCAAACTGGAGAGACCAACAGGCGGATACAGAGACTAAACTTCCTGGAGCAGGAACCTCCTGGGGAACCAGAGCGGGGGGGTGGGGGGGAACCTGGACACAACTGACGGACTGCTGGAGGCTCACGTGGACAATGCTGATAGTTAAAAATGCTGGGGAGGGGGTCAGTTTTAGGGCGACCCCTATGCTTTCATCACTTTTACCTCCAGGAGCTTGACTGTTTCTCACACTGAATATCAGAGAAAAACCCCTTATGATGGGGCAGGGGGAGGGGAGAACAGCCATCTTGAAACACACAGACCACTCTATTCTTAACAAGGCCGCCCTCAGGAGAAATACTTACCAGAGCCTGACCAGCCCGGGAGAAGGGAAGTACCCAACTCTAGTTCCTGTCAGCCTGCCCACCACAGGGGAGAAAACCCCAGAAGTGCTGGCGAAGTCCACTGTCCAGGGGCACAGGCTCACAGACAGACTGAGCCCTAATCACAGGACTGTAGGACACTCCCTTCCCTGCACCTCACCACCACATCGCTAAAGCCCTATTTACCACAGTTCCTTTTACCCAGGACATCTTGTCCAGCCTTTAAGAAAAAAATCACAAGGCATACGAAAAGGCAAAAACACAGACTGAGACAGAGCATCAGAACCAGACACGGCAGGGGTGTTGGAAAAATCAGACCAGGAATTTAAAACAACTATGGTTAATATGACAAGGGCTCTAATGGAGAAAGTAGGCAACATGCAAGAACAGATGGGCAATGTAAGCAGAGAGACAGAAATCCTAAGAAAGGACCAAAAAGAAATGCTAGAGATAGGAAACACCGTAACAGCAATGAGGAATGCCTTTGATTGGGCTCATTAGTAGACTGGATATGGCTGAGGAAAGAATCTCTGAGCTTGAGGATATCTCAACAGAAACTCCCCAAACTGAATAGCAAAGAGAAAACGACTGAAAAAAATAGAACAGAATATCCAAGACCTGGGGACAACGGCAAAGGCTGTAACATATGTGTAATGGGGATACCAGAAGGAAAGGAAAAAGAAGAAGAGAGGTATATTTGAAGCTGTAGTGACTAAGAATTTTCCCCACGTTAATGTCAGAGAAACAACAGATCCAGGACTTAGAGAACACCAGACAGGAAAAATACCAAAAACAAGACAAAAAAGCAAAAACAATCACCTAAGCATATCATATTCAAACTGCAGAAAATCAAAGAAAAAGAAAAAATCTTGAAAGAAGGCAGAGGAAAAGAACCACATTATCTACAGAGGAATAAAGATAAGAATTACATCTAACTTCCCAGAGTGGAGTGAAACATTTAACATGTTGAGAAAAAAAACCCCACCAATATAGAATCCCATGTCCTGGGAAACTATCTTTCAAAAGTGAAGAGAAATAAAGACTTCCTCAGACAAAAAACAAAAAAATTGGAATTTTTTGCCAGTAGACCTGCCTTACAAGAAATATTAAAAGAAGTTCTTCAGAGAGAAGGAAAATTACAAAGATCAAAAACTCAGTTCTATGTAAAGAAAGAAAGAGCATTGGAGAAGGAGTAAGTGAAGATAAAATAAAAACTCATATTTTTCTTATTCTTAAATGATATGACAAAACAAATAACTTAATACATATTATTAAAAATAATAATAGCAACAACATATCCAAAAATTATAGCTATGGATCAGTGAAATGAATGAAACAATGATATAAGGCACAGGAGGGAAGAAGCAGGAACAGTGTGTTATTATAAGATACTTGCACTACTGTGAAATGGTACTGTTACTTGCAAGTGGAGTTGGATTCATTGTAAATGTATATTGCAAACTGTAGGGCAACCACTAAATACATACAAACATATATATATATATAAAATACATAAAGAAGTATAACTGCTATGCTAAGAAAGGGGAGAAAGTAAAACCATATATAATGCTCAGTTAAAACCACAAGAGGCAGAAAAAGAGTGGAAGGAAAAATAGGAACAGCGAACAAGAGCAATGAATAGAAAACAGTAACATATATGGTGGATGTTAATCCAACTATGTCAATAATCACTTTAAACATCAATGATCTAAATACACCAACTAAAAGAGAGATTGTAAAGTGGATCAAACAGTAAGACCCAACTGTATATTTTCTACAACAAAGCCACTTAAAATATAAAGACACATATAGATTAAAGGTAAAGGGATGGAGAAGTTATGCCAGGCTGACACCAAGCAGAAGAAAGCAAGGTGGCTGCATTAGTTTCAGAAGGTGCAGACTCCAGAGCAAGGAAAACGATCAGGTATAGAAAGAACGTTACAACATGAAAAAGAGATCGGTTTTCCAAAAACCTAATAATCCTCTATATGTATGTGTGTAACAACAGAGCATCCAAAATACATGAAGCAAAAACTGATAGAACTGCAAGGAGAAAGAGATGAACCAAGTATTATAGTTGGAGATTTCAAAACGCCTCTGTCAGTGACTGACAGATCCAGCAGGCAGAAAATCAGTAAGAACATCACTGAACTCAACAACACAATCAACTGGATACAAGGGAAATCTACAGACTACTTCATCCACAAAAGCAGGATGCACATTCTCCTCAAGCTCGAGTGGAACATTTACCAAGATATGCCCCATTCTGGGCCAAAGAACACACTTTAACAAATTTAAAAGAGTAGAAATCATACAATACATGCTCTCAGACCACAGTGGAATTATACTACAAATCGCAAGAGAAAGATAGCTGGAAAATCCCCAAATACTTGGAGATTAAACAATACACATCTAAATAACATATGGCTCAAAGAAGAAAACTCAAGAAAAAATTTTAAATACTTTGAACTGAATGAAAATGAAAATATAACTTATCAAAATTGTGGGATTTAATGAAAGCAGTGCTTAGAGGGGAATTTATAGAATTGAATGCATATATTAGAAAAGAAGAAAGATCTAAAATCAATTATCTAAGCTTCCACTTTAGGAAATTAGAAAAAGAAGAGAAAATCAAATCCAAAGTAAGCAGCAGAAAAAAATAATAAAAATTATAGCAGAAACCCAGTGACAATGAAAACAGAAAATTAATAGAAAAAAATCAATGAAACCTGGAGCTGATTGTTTGAAAAGATCAATAAAATCAGTAACTACTCTAGCCAGGGTAACTAAGAAGAAGAGATAGAGGACACAAATTATTAATATCATAAATGAAAAAGGAGACATCACAACAGATCTCATGGACATTAAAGGGATAACAAAGGAATATTGTGAACAACTTTATGCCCACAAATTTGATAACCTAGGTGAAATGGACCAATTTCCTAAGACACAAGCTGTCAAAACTCACACAAGAAGAAACAGACAATCTGAATAGGCCCATTTCACTTACTAGTGATAGTAAATGACCTTGAATAGTTCTAGCTATTAAAGAAATTGAATCAACAATTAATAACCTCCCAAAACAGAAAGCACCAGGCTCAGATGGTGAATTCTACCAAACACTTAGGGAGAAATGATACCAATTCTCTACAATCTCTTTCAGAAGATAGGAGCAGAGGGAATACTGTCTAACTTATTCCATGAAACCAGCATTACCTTATATGAAATCCAGAAAAAGACATTACACGGGACCAAAATCTCTCATGAACATAAATGCAAAATCCTCAACAAAATATTTGCAAATTGAATGCAACAATGTATAAACTATGACCAAGTAGGATTTACCTCAGGTATACAAGGCTGGTTCAACATTCAAGAATCAATTAATGTAACAGGTCACATCAATAAGCTAAAGAACAAAAATCACATGATCATATCAATAGATGCAGAAAAAGCATTTGACAAAATTAACACCTATTCACAATAAAAAATCCCAGCAAACTAGGAATAGAGGGGACCTGCCTCAACTTGATAAAGAATATCTACCAAAAACCTACAGCTAACATTATACTTAATGGTGAGAAACTAGAAGTTTTCCCACTAAGATCAGGAGCAAGTCAAAGACGTCCCCTCTCACCACTGCTTTTCAACATCATACGGGAAGTCCCACTAATGCAATAAGACAAGACAAGAAAAGGTATACAAATTGGGAAGGAAGAAGTAAAACTGTCAAGGATGACATGATTATCTATGTAGAAAATCTGAAAGAATTGACAAAAAAACCCTCCTGGGACTAGTAAGTGATATAGTCAACGGCTTTCCTATATACAAGCAATGAATAAGTGGAATTTAAAATAAAAAATGTAATACCGTTTATATTAGCTCCCCCAAAATGAAATAAATACACAAATAAATCTAACAAATATGTACAAGATCTATATGAGGAAAACTACAAACTCTGATGAATGAAATCAAAGCAGAACTAAATAAATGGATAGATATTCCATGTTCATGACTCACTGTCAAGACGTCAGTTCTTCCCAATTTGACCTATAGATTCAATGCAATCCCAATAAAAAATCCAGCAATTTATTTTATGGACATTGGCAAGCAGATTCTAAAGTTTATACGGAGAGGTAAAAGATTCAGTATAGTTAATACAATATTGAAGGAAAAGAACGAAATTGGAGATTGACACTATCTGGCTTCAAGACTTACTATAAATCCACAATAATTAAGATAGTGTGGTATTGGTGAAAGAATAGACAAATAGATCAATGGAACAGACTAGAGAGTCCAGAAATAGACCCACATAAATATGGTCAACTGATCTTTGAAAAAGAAGGAAAGGCAATACAGTGGGAAAATGTATGTTCAGCCTCAACAAATGGGGCTGAAACAACTGAATATTCACACACAAAAACATGAATCTCAACACAGACCTTACACCCTTCACAAAGATGAACTCAAAAATTGATCATAGACCTAAGTGTGAAACACAAAACTATAACATGCCTAGAAGATAACATAGGAGAAAAACAAGATGAATTTGAGTATGGCAATGACTTTTTAGACAACACCAAAGGCACAATCCATGAAAGAAATAATGGATAAGCTGGACTCCAGTGGAATAAAGCTGGACTTCTACTCTGTAAAAGACATTGTCAAGAGAATGAGAAGACAAGCCATAGACTTGGAGAAAACATTTGCAAAAGACACATCTGAAAAAACACTGTTATCCAGATTATACAAAGAATTCTTAAAATTGAACAATAAGAAAACAATTAACCCAATTAAAAATTGAGCAGGGATCTGAACAGACACCTCATCAAAGAAGATATTCAGATGGCAAATAAGTATATTAAAACATGCTCCACATCATATGTCGTCAGGGAAATGCAAATAAAAACAACAATGAGATGCTATTACACATCTATTAGAATGGCCAAAATCTGGAACGCTGACAACACCAAATGCTGGCAAAGATGTGGAGCAACAGGAACTCTCTCATTGCTGGTGGGAATGCAAAATGGTGCAGCCACTTTGGAAGGCAGTTTGATGGTTTCTTACTGAACTAAACATTCTCTCACCGTATGATCCAGCAATCAGAGTCCTTGGTATTTACCCCAAAGAGTTGAAACTTAAGTCCACACAAAAACCTGCATATGGATGTTTATAGCAGCTCTATTCACAATTGCTAAAACTTGAAGCAAGCAAGACATCATTTAGTAGGAGAATGGATAAATAAACTGTAGTTCATTTGGACAATGGAATATTATTCAGAGCTAAAAAAAATGATCTATTAAGCCATGAAAAAACATGGAGGGATCTTGAATATACATTACTAAGTGAAAGAAGCCAGTCTGAAAAGGCTATATGCTGTATGATTCCAACTATGTGACATTCTGGAAAAGGCAAAACTATGGAGACAGTAGAAGGATCCATGGTTGCCTAGGGGTGGGGGGAGGGATGAATGGGGGAGCAGAGAGGACTTTTAGGGCAGTGAAACTACTCTGTATGATATCATAAATGTGGACACGTGTCATTATACATTTGACCAAACCCACAGAATGTACAAAACCAAGAGTGACCCCTAATGTAAACTATGGTTCTGCATGATAATGACGTGTCAGTGTAGGTTTATCAGTTGTAACAAATGTCCCAAGCTAGTGGAGATGTTGATAGCAGGGGATGCAGTAGGGGGAGGGGGTATACGGGAAATTCCTGTACCTTCCACTCAATTTTGCTGTGAATCTAAAACTGCTCTATTAAAGGGAACAACAACCATGAGAAAAACTTCTGTGGTTTTGTAGGCCTAAACTACACCGTGCAGGAGCTGGTTCCCCGGCGTCCTCTTCCGTGGGATTCTTTGGAAGAGACGGGGTGGGGACAGGGTTCCATCCTAGACATGCTGCCCCCTGCCCCTCCTGTCACTGTTCTCCCAAAGCGGCGCAGCCTTGGCCCCCACACACCTTTCCTGTTGCTGGGGTCACTGTCACCGGACTCCTCCCTCCTGCTCTTGGGTTTGCTCCTGTCGCAGGTCTGGTGGCTGACTACCCACTTGAGGATGCTGGAGGCCACTGTGCGCCGGAAGTCGTCTGAAAGGACACCAAGGCCTCAGCCCCTCTGCCTGCACTGGGGACCTCGGACCTTGGCCACCGCCAGCCATTCTCAGCCCAGGCATCCCACAGGCTGCAGGGGCCTCACAGCCCTCTGAGGGGCCAGGACTCCTCCAGCTGCCCACCTCTGCCCCCAGACTCCACCTACAACCCCGCCTTTCTGCCTCCCACTCCTCTGCAGATGTGAGTCCAATTACATCCAAGACATCCACCTTGGCTGCTCACCCACCCTGGCAACAGGCCCAGAGGCAGGACTCAGACACCCTTCCCTGCCCCTCTTCTGCCCCCCAGGGCCACAGTCCATGGGCACCCATATCACCTCTCCCTGCTCCTGTGTCCTCAGCCCTGCACCACAGGGAACCTTCTAGAAGCTCCCCTGCTGACAGCACCAAGACCCTCCCCCTCACGAGAGCCTCTCTGGACCTCCCCTCTCTGCGGATGGCCGGGAGTGTGCCTGTGCCCACCCAGCACAGAGGCAGCTGTAGGTCCTGCAGACCTGGGCTTGGGGCCCGGCTGGGCTCTGACCACTCGTCGTGTGCCAGGGGAGGTGGCCAGCACCTCTGTGATGGAGCCCATGCCATGAGGCCTCTCCCCACCCCAGGTCCAGGCTGAGCATGCCCTCCTGGGGCTCTGCAGGAGCTGCCTGTACCTTCTCACCCAAACCTGCTCCTTCCTCCTCCAAGTTCGGGCCACCACACCCAACACTGGCCTACCCAGCAGTTGCTGTCACCCCGGAAACCCAGAACCTGAGCTCCCCTCACTGGCCCCTCACCCCAGCCTCTTCCCTCCATCAGAACAGATGCCCCTGAGCTAGGCCCCCAACCCCTAGTCTCTCTGCCCTGTGGACGCGCAGGCACACTGCCCTTGCCGGGCTGGCCTGTCTGCTCCCTGCCTGGTCCCCAGGGCTCCTCTCCTCTGGGTCTCTGTCTGGTGACCCCTCTGTGAGCCCTTTCGTCCTTTGCACTTCTCACACCAGCCCCCATGGACCACCTCCTCCTGCCTATACTGTGTGCTCCTGCGAGCCCCGTGGTGGGGTCAGGGCATGGGGCAGGGTCCTGGGCAGACACCACATCTTTACAGCCCCCAGATCAGGTGCTCAGGAACACGGTCACCCCCTAACAGACACCTCCCCACCTGCCCTGCCCTTCAGCCTCTCGGCAGGTGGACTCCGCAATCCCCCCTCTGTCCCTCGTTCAGAGCCTGTGGTCCAGAGTGTGGCCCAGATGGTATATGTCAGCACCATCCCCATGCCAGCCTCTCCCAGACGCCCCATCAGAACGGAGCTGCTGACACCTGGCTCCGCAGCCTCTGTAAGTTCCAGTGCCTCCCCTCCCGCAGATGCTGGCCATGGAAGTTTCTGGACTAGCCCTCAGCATGTGAAACAGAGCTGAGCCCCCAGGTCTTAGGATGGGACCAGACCCTCCACCATCACCCGCCCCCAAGTCCCCAGCCCTGTGGCTGCAGCCATCCCAGCCCCCTTCCCAAGGCTCCTGCAGCCGCCTCTGCAGAAGGTGGACCAGAGAAGGTGCTGCCCACGTTCCCAGCCCCAGGTGGGCTCTGCCAGCCTCCAGCCACTTACCCAGGAATTCTTGCTTCTCACTCTCGGTGCAGAGGCCGTAACAGCGTGGGAAGAAGGAGTCAGGGTTGGCCTGGGCGTACCACGGCAGGCTCCGCATGTTCAAGCATAGCCCGATCTCCAGAGACAGTGGCACATCAGGCCCCACAGGCCAGCTGGTCCATCTCAGACCAGCCTGAACGCCCGCAGGCCTGGCCGGGCGGCACCAGCTCCAGCGGGCTCCCCTCCTGGAGTGAGCCCCTCCCCAGCCTCCCAGACCCTCCTGCCCCTGGCCAGCTGGTCCGAGCAGCCAGACGACCCGACCTGCAGGCCAGGGCCCTGGCTCATCCTCTGGTCAGTGGCGGGTGCAGCAGGCCCAAAGGGGTGCGGGGGACTGTCTGAGGGTGCCCAGCGTGGTAGGCTTTGTGTTCACCTCCAGGTCCCAAATGGTGCTGGGCTCGGGCCCAGGAGAGGCGAGAGCAAGCAGGAGGGTCTACAGCATGGCTGTGCCCACCACTCTGGCCCCATGGACGTGATATGAGTTGTTAAAGAGGCCTGGTGGGGAGTCCTGGACCCCAGGGTCCAGCTCATCGCCCCAACTGGAACAAAAGGACCAAGAGCAGGGGAAAGAAAGCACCTGCTGGCCGCCGGGTACACGGGTGACCATTCCACACGGGGGCTTTGTGGGGAGCCTGGCCTGACTGGGCCGCCCACAGGTACCAACCACACTTGGAAGGATGCCAGTAGCCCAAGCCTGGTGAGGATGTGTGGAGGCCAGACCCCCACAGGGAGCCCTGGGGCAGCTGCAAGCCCCGGCCCTGACCCCCCGTCAGCTGTGCCTCTTGAGGGGATGGCCCCTGTTGCCAGGGAAGTAGCTCTCTCCAACCTCTCCTAAGCCAGTGCACACAGGCCCCACCATCCTGAGCTAGACACACCCCTGAACCCCAGCCCTCCGGGTAGACGGGGATGGCCGCCTCCAGGAGGGGCTGTGCGGCCAAAAGGAGGTGTGAGTGGCAAGCGCTCGGTGTGGTGGATGCTATGTCAACGGCTCTCAGCAAAGCCCCTGCAGCTGGAAGGCCCAGTGCAGCCAAGGGTGGCCTGCCCCCTGGGACCTGGAGCCCTCCCCGGCCAGAGCCTGGTCAGGTTGTGGTGGCCGCCCCACTTGGCCTGTGTGCCCAGAGAGGGTACTTCTGTCCTCAGAGCCACCTGGGGATGCAGCGAGAGGCACATGGGGCTCCAGGGGGCAGTGGGTGGTGCAGGTGCTGAGCGACTCTGGGCACTGATGCTGGGTAGTGGCCACGGCCTCTGGCTGGGCCAGGAGGAGGCTCAAGTCCTGGGGAGGAGCCCCGAGGTGACCAGTCCACGTGTGACTCTCCCAGCCACAGGGTGCTGGCTTTCAGGAGGTGAGGGGCTGCCGCACCTGCTCCCGCCAGCCTCTCCAAGCCCTCCCACTCACCTTGGTGGTAAAGGAGCCCGTCTTCCAGTAGTGATTCAGCATCTGGTCACCGTTCAAGCTGTGATAGTCAATGACGTCCCTTTTGATGGTCCAGAGGAAGTACGGCATTTCATTCTTTACCAACCTGGACTGGCAAGAAAACACCTTTATCTATACCCAGCATTCGAGGTTCGTATCCTTTGACGGTTAAGTTTTAACTAAGATTGAAGGAACCAGATTTTAAATGATACGCAGATTCTAACTGTGGACCTGCGGTCTGCACTGTGCCCAACGCATCTCCCTCGAGGGCCTATGTGTCCTGGGCGTGGGAGCAGCTGTGACCGCACAGGGTCTCTGCTCTCAGGAAGCAAGCACCGGATGTGGGGCTGCGAGTGGGGTCCGACATGCCTGCCCCGTGGGTGCCTCCGTCCAGCTCAGGAATACACCATGTGTGGACACAAAGTGGATGCATTGCTTCATGACCTGGACCCCCGGGAGACGGGCTCCTCCTTCAGAGCAGGGGGGCAAGGCCCACCAGAACGTAGGGGCCTCGGAGCAAGGCTGAAGCTAGACTGGGGTGTCTTTGGTGATTGTGTTTACAAACAATGGAACATGTTTGGTCAAAATTCTAACCAAAGAGAAACAAGGAAAGGAAAACATTCTCCAAAATTCTACCCCCCAGAGATGACCCCTGATCCAAGACCTTGGAGACCCTACAGGTTCATTCTCTGCAGACTGGCGTGCGTGGACACACCTGTGTCCTGCCACGTGGACCCCCAGCTCATGCAGGACTGGGCTCCCCCCACGAGGGAGCTGGGCCCCAATGGCCAGGGCACCTCCTGAGGCTCGTCCTCGCGGCTCACTGTGTGCGGCCCAGCCTTCCTTTCTTCCAACTCTGAGCGTGACATCTGTAGCGTGTTGCCGCTGTCCCATGTGTCTCGCTTGTTAAAGTGTGTGATGAGCTCTCTTAGATGGGAGTACGAAGAGCAGCAGTTGGCTGCCCAGGCACCGCGGATGAGAAACAGCATCGGGACAGAGCTGCTGCCTGCCTGCCCCCAGGGATGGCTGCCTGGCCCCGGCCCCCCACACTCCCTCCCACCTCCCTGCATGCGGCGCTGCCCAGTGTCACATGCACCAACTTTTATAGAAACAAATCAACTTCAGGCGCTTAAAATAACGTGAGCATCAGCCTGTTCAGGTTTTGCCTGTTTTTCTATTTGACTGTCATTTGTTACTGATGTGTGAGTGCCTTCATAGTCTGGATATTAGATCTTTTAGATTATGAACACTGCAAATACCTCCCCTACTCTGGCTTGTCTTTCTGCCTTTTTCTTTGAAGGTTTTGTGCATGGCTGTGCATCTGCTTGTTAGTTTAGTTCTCTGCATGAGCCGCCGCCACACTATGATGACTGACGGATGGTGGTGTTGTTCCACGACCGGAGACAGTCCCCGGCCGAGGCGGTGAGAGCGCCAGGTCTCCACCACTAGACCAGCAGGGCGGGCTCTCTTTCCACTTCCTTAATGGTGTCCTTTGAGGAACAGGCACTCTTATTTTTAACGTAGTGGAATGTGTCAGATTTTCTCCACGGTGAATGCTTTTTGGTCTTGTTCTAAATTTCCTCCCTCCCGTTAAATCACAAGTGACCCGGTGCCATCTTCTGGAGGCTTCACGGTGTCACCTGCGTGTGTCACGAGGAGGGCCCACCTCTGCCCTGTGTGGACGCCTCCTGTCTCAGCACATCTCTGGCAAGTCCACCTCTGCCAGCTGATCTGCCCCTCAGCTGACGTCAAGGTCACAGGAGCTGGTCCCGTCTGGGCTCTCTTCCCCGCACAGTCGGAGCGTGCGGCCTTCACCACCGCAGCCTCACAGAGGGTGGGCTCACTCTCCCGTCTGTGCTCTCTTCCCTGCGCAGTTGGGACGTGCGGCCGTCACCACCGCAACCACGCAGAGGGTGGGCTCACTCTCCTGGCTGCTCTTCGAGGGCCTTGGGCTGTTCCGATCCCCCCACAGAACCTCCACAGAGCTACAGACACAGCTTGTCATCTTACACACGGGGTGGACACAGGGACACACACACATGCACAGTATGTCCTGCAGCCTGTTGCCAGGGCTGTCCTACTCCCCAGCCCAGCTCGGGAGGCTGGCATGCCTCTGGCTTTCTCAGCCCTCCCCCAGGACAGGGCTGCGGGCACTGAGGCAGGGAACCCTGAGAAGAAGTGCAGTGAGGTCGCGGCTCAGCCACGGGCCCCTGGGGGAGCTCACAAGTGGGGACCTACCATCACATCATGGATGTCGTCTGTTTTCTCCAAAGCCATGTTTTCATTTTCTTTGCCTTCGGCACGTTTATTTTCTGCAAACACAACACGCAGGAGGGACATCAGGCCTCCCAGCTCAAAAGCCCAGGCACAGGCACACTCACCATGATGGCCCCTGCCACTGCCAAGGCCAGCACAGCACTGGCTGGCTTCTGAGCAACCTTGTCTTCAGGTGCCTCTGTGGGTCCTGAGATGGAGCAGGGCCAAGTCAGGCTCAGGTCACATCCACCCATCTGCCAGGTGCTATGCCAGGGATGAGGGACCCTGGGTGTGGGGTGTGAAGATGGCCAGGGGGTGAGCATGTGGAGAGGCACAGGGATGCAGGACCATGGGGGTTGCTGTGGGTCTCAAGGACCATGTGGGAGCTGGCCCCGTGCATACTCCAGGGCCAAGAGGACAGACACTTGGTGCAGAGCAGGAGGCCAGGCCACGGGCAGTGGGTCTGGGAGGACAAGACAAGGGGCCAGGGTGCAGTTGCACTGCAGGAGGCTGAGGAGTGACCCGTGGGAAGCTGAGGTCAGAAAAGGGACCATCAGGGTGTGGAGAGTGGGGACACCAAGGAGTGACGAGTACCAGGGTTTGAGAGTGCTTGCCCAGGATGTGGACACCCAGGGTCAGGGAGGCTGGGAGGGTGACCTCTGGGGCAGGCAATAGGGTCTTCTGCCCCCCAAGGGAGACCCCAACACATGCTGGGGGAGGCCTAAGGCACAGGACCTGCAGGACCATCCCAGCATCCCTCCCGGGCAGTGACAACTCGCAGCTGGGTCCTCGTGACAGAAACAGGCAAGCGTCTGACAATAGAAGACAATGGCCTTAAACACCTTACCCGTCGTCCCTGCACTGTCATCTCCCACGTTCAGAGTGACCTTGGGCAGAAAGTGGAACTTCTTCTCCACCCAGCCCTTCCTCCGCAGGATGGCCCGGATCACTGGGTAGTGTCCGTAGATGGAGAAAATCTTCTTTTCCTCAAATTAAAGAGCATGTTTTGAATTAAAGAATTGAAAGACAAGCTAATTCTTTCTCTGTAAGAGGGGTTTTCAAAGCAGAATGGACTGCACCAGCAGGAGGACACCCACATCATGCTCCCAGAACACACAGAGATGGTGTGCAGGGCTGGGGCAGCCACTGGGCAGGGCCCACTCTGTGGTGTGTGTGTCTGCTTCCTTGTGCAGCCTTGCACACAGATATCCTGGGTGGGTGTGACCAAATCAGGTGAGCCCCTCAAAAGAGGGTCCAGGGCTTCCCTGAGGTTAAAGATTCAGAGCAGCAGAGACTCTCTCCCCACCGCTGGCTTTGAAGAAGCAAGGTGCTGCAAATCCTACAGCCACAATTCTACCATCAATTCTACCACCAAGCTGAGGGAGCTTGGAAGCGGACCATTCCCCAGTCGAGCCTCTGGATGAGACCCCAGCCCAGCCAACACTTCATTCCAGCCTTGAGAGACCCTGAGCAGGGGACCTGGCAGGGCTGTGCCTGGACTCCTGACCCACAGAAACTGAGATAATCAATGGGTGTGCTTAGGCAGCCAAGTTCAAGGTGATTTGTTACACAGCATTGATAGCTCACAGGTCCCAATGGGAGGGCGTGCCCACATCAAGAATCTGGAAACACGTCAAGATGCTGGTGCCTGTGGCTGGAAGCTGTGAGTCCAAGTTCCAGCACCCAGGCAAGACCTGGCAGGGAAGAGGACCTCCCTGAGCCTCCTCCTACTTGGAAAATTGGTCCAAAGCCTGCCCTTGACACCCAACAGGGCCACGCACAGGGACAAGAGGGATGTGAACGAGCCTGATTCATAGCAGGGGCAGCTCCTGCAAAGCCATCTGGCCATCCCCAAGACTCTGCTTAATTGTAGTCGAGTTGAACAACTTCAGAAAAATTGATTAATTTCAATAAGTTAGCAGAAAACAGTTCCTAAGGGAACTATAAAAAGAATAAAAAGAGTATAAGACTTCTAACATTTAAGAGAGGGGGAAAATGGAATTTAAAAAAGTAATCGGTCAACAGGAGGCAGGAGAGGAAAACAGAGCAGATAGGACAAACCGAGTGACTGAAATGAGAGGGCACACTCAGGAATGTCTGTGAACGCCAGTAGGTTAATTATAGACACAGACACAAATGCTTCAGCAAAAGGGGAAGTGTACAGATCAGAGTTTTTTCAACCTAACTCTATGCTGTTGACAAGAGAAAACCAAAAGCACATGCCTGCAGATGGGGAGGAAATAAAAGAGTCTAAATGGGGACAAAACAGCCTTTAGGAAAAATAGATATCACTGAAGTAAAAAAAATCATTGCATAATTTTTACAAAAGGTTCAATTCACCAGAAAGATACACTAAGAGGACAATAAATTATATAAAGCAAAAATTGACAGAACTACAAAGTAGACAAATCCACAGTTTTAACAGGATATTTTGACATGTTTCTCTCAGTGAAGGACAGAACACACAGACAAAAATTCAATAAGACTAGAAGATTTGAACCACTCAAAAAACAAACTCTACCTTGATGACCAGGAATAGGGCATCTACATCTACTTTTATATAAATTAACAAAATGCGACGTGGAAAGCAAGTCTGTACACATTTCAGTGGAATAACATCATACAGGTTACATTTTCAACCACAATGCAATCAGGCTAGCAATAAATAACAAAAAAACTAGACAAAAATCCACAGGTATAGAAATTAAGGACTATGCTTTTGGGGCCGGCCTGGTGGTGCAGCAGTTAAGTGCACATGTTCCGCTTCAGCAGCCTGGGGCTCACCGGTTCAGCCATGCTGTGGTAGGCGTCCCACATATAAAGTAGAGGAAGATGGGCATGGATGTTAGCTCAGCGCCAGTCTTCCTCAGCAAAAAGAAGAGGATTGGCAGCAGATGTTAGCTCAGGGCTGATCTTCCTCAAAAAGAAAAAAGAACTATGCTTTTAAGTAACACATGATCAACGAAAAATAATGACATGAATTAGAAAATACCTTGAACCACATCTCAACAAAAATATTTGAAATGAAAGCTTGTGAAATGCAGCTAAAGCAGTATTCAGAGGGACGCTAGTAGCCCTAAATGTTTACATGTTTTAAGGTTTCAGAAGAAAATCTGAAAATTAATGAGCTGGTATAGTTCTATTTACATGAAATCCCAGAAAGGACAGTGATAGGAAGCTTAAAAAGCACCGGGATTTGGGGTGGGGGAGGGGAATGACTAAGGGCCAGAAGCAACTCTGAGATGATGGAGTGTTCCTGTCATGACCGACCACATCATCTGCATGCGCTGTGCTTCTCTCTGCAGGTGCATCTGGCCGGCACAGCCGAGTTCTGCATGGGGATTGGTGGACCTTGTGTGTGTGTATTGTGCTTCAGAAGAAAGTGAAGGGAATGAGCATGTTCTCATGCACTAATATCTGTTGGACCTCTTAGTGCTCCCACACGGGCCTGGGCTTCTGAGCAGCCAAGCATGATAAAGATACGAGAATGCAGCCTCCTCCCCAGAAAAGGCTCTTCGTATTCTCAGGGCAGCAGACGTGGAGCCATCTGCTCCCATTTAACAAATACAAGCACCTTCCTTATTTCCCCCAGACCCCAGTGTTCATACCCATCCCTGAGGAGGGGTGACTGTGCCAGCTGCCCCAAGTGAGCCCCGAGGGTCATAACTTCCCAGCTCCTCTCCTGAGGTGCAAACCCCGTCTGCACACACAGGCGACATCTGTCCCCACTGTGTCACCCAAGGGGCCTGGGGCGTGAGGAACTGATACAAGGGGTTCTGTGAGTCACTGAGTCTGTCCCAGACCTCGTCTGGGATGTGCATCACCCTGGGGCCACACACCCACCTCATGGCTGGGGGAGAGATTTTCACCGTTCACGTGTCTGCACTTTTCCAATTTTGAAAGTACTACCTATTTCAAAAGTACAGCTAAAATAGAAAGTAAGTCTGGCCTGAGCCTCCACTGGGGCCAGGCCCAGGCCCAGGGCAGGAGCGAAGGTGTCCACAGCCAGGCACCTCGGCCGAGGAGTGTCAGAGGCAACAGATTCACTCTACAAATTCCAAAATAAATTTTCATTGTTAAAAAGTACCCCTCCCTACGGAGTCCGGGAGAGCATTTACCTTGATTGCTTTTTCCGTTAATTGTTTTGCTATTTTGTATCTGTCTAACTTGGGGGAAGAAGTCGAGTCAAGGGAAATTCCTCGTTTTAACTCTGCAAAAGAGAAACAAACATCAAGGCACAGGAAAGAGACCCAGGAGTGCTCTAAACAGCGACATTCGGATGGGGAGACCCCAGGCCTAATCACAAGGGTCCCATCAACTTTTCACCATCCCCCGCCACCGCCCACCTGCCCACACACCTGTCACCTGCTCTGTCCTGAGCAGACCTGGGGCTGACCCAGGCCCACAGCCGGGAGCAGCTGGTGCAGCCCTCCTCCCCGCCACCTGCCACACACCTGTCACCTGCTCTGTTCTGAGCAGACCTGGGGGCTGACCCAGGCCCACAGCTGGGAGCAGCCGGTGCAGCCAGCCCTCCTCCCCGCCCTCCTCCGGCCTCCGCTCGCCCCCAGACCCTCCTCCTGCACCTCTTCAACACCCTCCCCAGCCTGCAAGCCCCTGGCCTCACCCTTTCTGTGTCCCCCGCCCGCGCTCCGGCAGCTCTGGCCTTGGGGCACCCTCGTTCCTTGCTGGGGTCCCCACCCGCTATGCTGCCACACCATGACCCCATCTGCTTCCACCTGGGCCAGCCTCCCCGCCACCAGCCCCTGCTCAGTTCCTTTCTCTGACCCTGGCCACCAGTCTCCCATCAGCATACACCAGGCATTGTAGCATCCACCCTAAAAAATAAAAGTGAAAACCCTCCTCCCTCGACTTGGCACCCTCCACACCCCCACCTGCTGGGTCCACCACAGACGTGGCTCGTGCTAAGGCTGTATACAGGCGCAGACCACTCCTGCGGCCACTCCCCTGGCTCCTGGCCTCTGGCAGCAGTGGACGTGCAGCCAGCAGACCCTCCCCCCCCGGGCTCCTGCTCACCCCTCCTCACTGCAGCCGCTTCTCTCTCCTCACGCCCTAACCGCGGAGGAGCCCAGGCCTGGACCTCAGAGCTCCCTGCTTCGCCTTCCATGACCACTTCCTGGGCCATCTCATCCTGTCTGGTGGCTTTTAATTCCACCGCGCCGATGCCCTGGAATCTACGTATTCTGCCCAGACCACCCAACCTCCCCACACCTCCTGGACCCACGATCTCCGGATGTCCAAGGAGCCCTGCAGGTGGGGCAGGCTGGCAGCAGACCCCCATCTACCTACCACCTGCTCCTCCTGCAGCCCCTCCACCCCGTGGGCTCCGGTTATCCCATGTCCACAGGGCCAACGGATTGAGACTAAAGCACCAAACCAATTCAAGGCGGGTGGTGCCATGACAGCTACGTGTCCACACAGGGAAAGCGAATGACAACCCCACCTGAGAAGACACACAGTTAATGTGAAGCGGACCACAGGCCTAATGCGAAAGCTAAACACACGAGGACTCTACAACCTCGGGTCAGGAAAGTCCCAAGACCGCACACGAGGACTGACCACACAGGCTAAAGTGGGTGGATCGACTCATCAAAATCAAAACGCTGCGTCTACTATGAGAAGAAGAGATGGGCCACAGACTGGAGGAAACGCTCACCGTGCAGACGTCTGACGGAGCCAGGCACAGGGAGTGCGCACTGAGTGACCCACGTCATTGAAGTTCTGGAGCCCACGAGGTTACCTCTGGAGACAGAAGCCAGAGCAGAGACTGGACGGTACAAATGGCCTAAAAGCATTGCCTCAAAACAGACAAAGCAAGGCCAGCAGAGCGACCAGGAGAGCAAATCAGAGCCACAGCCACACCAAGTGACGAGACTGCTCTCAGGAACTGGCAACGCAGGTCGCTGAGGACAAAGATACAAACGTGACTGTCAGAACTGCACGCCACGAGCACACGGACCACCTCACTCCTCAGCCGCTGGGCACGGGAATCCCAGGTCCCAAGGGACATTCAGTAAAACTGACCGCCGAGACGCTCGCAGAAAATTTCAAACGGGGTTGTAATCACACCGATTTGTCCCCGATCACAGAGCCGTGAAGTCAGGAATCAGGAATCAGTAACAGAACAAACTACCAAACATACTTCTAAACAACGCTTGTGCCGGAGAAGAAACCAAGATGGAAAGTACTGCATATTTCTTAACTAAATGACAATTAAAAACCAATTATCTGGGCTGGCCTGTGGCGTAGTGGTTGGGTTTGGCACACTCCTCTTTGGTGGCCCTGGGTTCGTGGGTTCAGATCCCAGGCGTGGACCTATACCACTCATCAGCCATGCTGTAGACGCAACCCACATACAAAGTAGAGGAAGACTGGCACAGATGTTAGCTCAGGAGTAATCTTCCTCAGCAAAACAAACAAACAAACAAAAAATACCAATTATTAAATCTTGTGAGCCACAGCTAAGCATGTTTACAAAGAGGCTTTTAGCTGCATATACTAGAAAATAATAAAAGCTAAAAACAGTGAGTTAAGGGGCTGGCCCAGAGGCGTAGTGGTTAAGTTTGGATGCTCTGCTTCAGCGGCCGGCAGTTTGCAGGTTCAGATCATGGGCGCAGACCTAGCACTGCTCATCAAGCCATGCTGTGGCAGCATCTCACATAAAATAGAGGGAGATTGGCACAGACGTTAACTCAGGGCCAGTCTTCCTCACACACACACACACACACACACAAACAGTGAGTTAAGCATCCATCTCAAGACTGAGAAAGGACACAGTAAATTTAAACCCAAAGAAATTACATGAAAATTATTAAAGAGGAGACATTAGTGACATTATTAAAAATTCAATAAAAAGGACCAACCAAGCCAGGGTTTCAGCCTGATAAATTAATGAATGACTGGTGAGAGCGACAAGTGAAAAAGAGAAAAGGCATAAAAAGTACTAACAGGACAGGGAAACTCTTTATGTATTTAAAATCTAAGAGGATATCATGAATTTTATGGCAACAAATTAGAAATTTACGTGAAACGGAAAAATTCCTGGAGAAATACACATTACCAAAACAGATGCAAGAAGAACTAGAAGATATATATAATACAGAAACTAAATCTGAATTTTAACTCCTTCCCGTACAGGAAACTCCAAGTTAACGGCTTCATGGGTGAATGCCACCAGCATCTAATCCTGTACAACTTATTCTGGGAGCAGAAAGTGCGTGTCTGCTCCTAACACCTCACAAGAAAGTAAGATCACAACCCGATGGGACTCAACACGGATGACAAAATCAGACAGAAATAATGAGCAAAGTACACCGGCGACACACAGAAAGGGCACCACATCCCGGTGACCTCGGGTTACCACATGAAGAGAAGAAACAAAAATCATAAAACCTACCCCAATAGACACAGAAATATCTTAATAAACCTTAATTTCCATTCTGGCTGAAAACTTTTGGGGGGTGCCAGCCCTGTGGCTGAGTGGTTAAGTCCGCACACTCCGCTTCGGCAGCCAGGTGTTTCGGCGGTTCAGATCCTGGGTGTGGACATGGCACCGCTCATCAGGCCATGCTGAGGCGGCATCCCATATAGCACAACCAGAGGCACTCACAACTAGAATATACAACTATGTACTGGGAGGTTTTGGGGGGGATTAAAAAAAAGATTGGCAACAGTTGTTAGCTCAGGTGCCAATCTTTAAAAAAAAAAAATTTGGGGGGGCTAGGAAGCACATAAACAGGCTGGCAGAGATCCCCCCAGCACCCAGATTTGGTTTCTAAACCCCACTCTTGCACCCGACTGGAGGGACCAGAGCTCTCAGGACTGTGATTCCTGATCTGGGACATGGGAGCCCACGATGGTGACTGACTGGACACAGTCCAGATGTCAGAAAGATTCTCAAAAGTTAGAAAGCCTCACAGACAGAAATCTCACCCAAGGCCGTGGGAAAAGCCGGATATGCCAACACATTCCCTGGAAATGGGTAACTGATGGCAGAAACAAGCACTTAAGCAGAACTTCCGGAAGGATCTGAACTCCACTGAGGCCACAGAGCCCTGTGGGAAAGGAGGGCAGCCAGTCAGTGCCTCATGTGGGAGAGACGGCCCACACCAAAGGGCCAGGAGGCTGCCGAGCCTGGGAGGGGGTGGGGCACCACAGGAGCTGTGGTGGCCATGCCGTGGGCAGGGTTGTGATCACATCATAGTTCCCACCTCCCTTGGCCAGGCCCAGGTTCTTCATGACCCCAGCACTGACTCGGAAGTATTCTCCAAGCAACCTCCTGCATCTCATCCCATCTCAGAAGGATTCTCCAGGGAACCTCCCACAGCAGGGGACTCAGACAGGTGCCAGGGGCCAAAGCACCACCCTTCAGAGTGGCCACGGGAAATACAGGGCTGGCCAGCACTGTCCCAGTGACCAGTCATGGCACCGATGATGGGATGGACAGACACTGTGGGCAAAATTAGATGAGAGCCCCACCTCTGAAGGAGTCCTGGCAAGACTTAACCCGAAGCCATGGAGCTCTACATCCCACCTCCAGGTCACAAGGTGCATAGAGGGACAGAGGAACAGGCTAAATGCCACCATGATGCAGTGCTGAGACAAATCCCCAAGGTGGGACCCTCTACAGAACAAGAGGCTGTCTGCACCAAGGAGTCTATGTCTTAAAAACCCCAGTCAAGAGGACTGGTTATTCTAGATTAAAAGAGACAACCTAATGCAATGTGTGGCCCTTGATCAGATTCTGATTGGAACAAACCAACAGTAAAGTTATTTGGGGGAAAACTGGGGGAATATGAACATATTTTGGGCATCGGGTTTTATTAAGGAATTACTGTTCATTTTATTGAGTGTGAAAAAGAGTTTGGTTATGTAATAAACGTCATTTTTAGAGATATACAGTAAGTATCTAGACACATACTAATATTTCTTTAGAAAATATTAATAAAATTTTAATAAAATCATTATTAAAGATAAAAGAGAGATAGTCCGTAATATTAAAAAGATGAGTTTCGAGCCGGCCCCATGGTCGAGTGGTTAAGTTTGTGCGCTCCACTTCAGCAGCCCAGGGTTTCGCTGGTTTGGATCCTGAGCAGGGACAGGGCACCACTCATCAAGCCATGCTGAGGCAGCGTGCCACGTGCCACAACTAGAGGGACTCATAACTAAAAATATACAACTATGTACTGGGGGGCTTTGGGGAGAAAAAGGAAAAATAAAATCTTACAAAAAAAAGACTTTAAAAAGATGAGTTTGTCAGGAAAACAAAAAAAAATTCCAAATGTGTGCATACTGTGGAAATAAATAAAAGAAACCTTAACTAAACTGGATGGGGAAGGCCTGCAGGGGGAGCTCTCAGCCCCATCACACATCAGTTACTCCAAACACGAAAAGACAGACGCTTGCATCTTCCACCCCAAGTAACACCACTCTGGTACCAAAGGGAGATTTCTCTCCCAGCCCGGTAACAGCCCAGCCAATGAGAAGCACCACAGCCCAGCCAATGAGAAACGCCACAGCCCAGCCAATGAGAAACGCCACAGCTCAGCCAATGAGAAACGCCACAGCTCAGCCAATGAGAAACGCCACAGCCCAGCCAATGAGAAACGCCACAGCCCAGCCAATGAGAAACGCCACAGCCCAGCCAATGAGAAGCGCCACAGCTCAGCCAATGAGAAACGCCACAGCTCAGCCAATGAGAAGCGCCACAGCACAGCCAATGAGAAACGCCACAGCACAGCCAATGAGAAGCCATTGCTCCCCGAACTGTTACTTTTCCCCAATGGACTTTCTTTTAGGACAGCCCCACCCTACTCCCCTTTTTTCTCTATAAAAGCAGCTCCCTCCTTTGTTCTCTGGATTTGTCTGTGGTTTGCCATAGTATGCATACTGAATTGCAATTCTTTGAGCTATTCTGGAATAAACTCATTTTGAGGCTAAAATAACAGGTGAATTTGCTTTTTAAGTTGACTATAATAATAGAGCTTCAAGGCATAGAAATACACGAGCTGACAGAACAACAAAAACAAAGACAGAAAATTCTCAATCATATTGGGATATTTTAGTCTGCTTCTCTCAGTAAATTAAAGATAAAACAAAGAATCAGTAGAATGTAGCAGATTTGACCATTAGGATTAACGAATTGGACCTAAATGACATGCGTGGACACCATGTCCCACAACTTGAGACACACATTTTTTTCACATACACATCTTCCAACACAGATCACATGCTAGGCTACAGACAGTGTCAACAAATTTCAAAGGATTGAAATGATACAGATTAAATCTCTGACAACAGTTGAATCAAACTAGAAATTCATAACAATGAGGTAACTAGAAATTCTTCTAACTGCTAAAAAATTAAGCAGCACACTTTTAAAATAATACATGGATCAAAGGAGAAAGCAAATGGAAATTTTAAAATTATTTGAATTGAATGATAATGAAAATATGACATATCAAAGCATTACAATGCAGCTAACATAGTGACTAGAGGGAAATTTATAGATTTGAATGCATATATTAGAAAAGAAAACTAATTGAAAATTCATTATCTAAGCCACTATCCCAAGAGGCTAGAAAGAGAACAACAATCAAACAAAAAGAAGTAGAAGACAGGAAATAATAAAGACAAGAACAGAATTCAACTAAGTAAAAACACGTGTACTAAAGAAAACTAACAAAACCAAAAGTTGGATCTTTGAAACAATTTTTTAAACTTATAAACCTCTAAATAGATCAAGAGAAAACATGAATTACCAATATCAAGAATGAAAAAGACATCATCGATTTTATACATATTAAAATGATAAGATATTATGAACATCCACACGCCAATAATTTGACAGTTCATATGAAATGAACATTTTCCTTGAAAAACATAGCTTATCAAAACTGACATACAAGAAACAGAAAATCCAGATAGTCTTATTTCTGTTAAAGAAATTAATCCCACAATTAAAAGGTTCCCCACAATGAAAACTCCAGGTCTAGATGGCTTCACACATCAATCTTTCCAAACATTTAAGGGGAAGAAAATACCTATATAAACTCTTTCATTGAATAAGGAAATAGGAAACTCTTTTCAACTCTTTTTAGGAGGCCGTACATTTAATATCAAAATCTAACAAGGACATCATAGGAAAGGAACAATACAGGTCAATCTCACTCATAAAAATAGACATAAAATCTTAAAACATTTGTAAATCAAATCCGGTGACGCACAAAACAACACAACATGACCAGATGAGGTTTATTCCAGGAATACAAAATTGGCTTAATATTTGAAAATCCATCAATATAATCTACCACATTAATAGACTAAAGGAAAAAAATACATATTATCATCTCAATAGATGTGGAAGAAAGCATGTGATAAAATGTAATAACTTCATTTAAAACTCTCAGTAAACCAGGAACAAAAGGGGTTTCCCTTAAAGCTTATAGCAACATCATACTTCATGGTGAACTATTGAGCACTTTCTCCCTCAGTTTGGGAACAAATAAAGATGTCCACTGCACCACTTCTATTCAACATTACACTGAGAGTACTAGCCAATGCAATTATGCAAGAAAAGGAAATAAAAGGTATAAAGATTGAAAAGATTTGCAGGTGCTGATTGTGTATGTAACAAATCTAAATGAAGCTACGAGCCATTGGAATCAGTAAGAGTATTTAACAAGGGCACCAAATACCAAGTCGGCATAGTAGAATCAATTGTATTCCTATATACTAGAAACACAGAAAATGAAACTCAAAAATGTCATCTACAGCAGCATTAAAAACATTAAATATCTAGGAGTAAATCTAACAAAAGAAGTCTTGCATAGCAACACGCTGAAAGCTACAAACATTCCTGACAAGAATTAAAGAACTAAGTGTTCATGGGTTGGAAGACAATATTGCTAAGATGCTAATTCTCACCCAAATTGATCTATAGATTGATTATAATAAAAATTAAAATCCCAGCAGGATGGGGGGAGGGGATGAGGGGGTTAAATTAACAATTCGATTCTAACATTTATATGGCAACGCAAAAGTCCAAGAAAACCTAAACAAATCTTGAAGAAGAGTCAGAAGACTTACACTAGGAACCATTAAGACTTGTTATATGGCTACTAGAATTAAAACAGGGTAGTACAGGAGAGAATGGAGAACCCAAGAATAGACCTCTGCCTGATTTTCACATGAGCACCCTGGACGGGCCAGCCGCCGTCTCCGACCGATTCGGCCACCCCATCCGCTTGATAAACCGAGGGCATCTAGGGGGCAGCCCTGACGCTGAGTCTCCACCTGGCCCGGAGGACAATACTCACTATTTTCTTCTCTCCGGTCTCCTTCCGACGAGGCAGACGGGAGCTTCTTCCTCTCCCCCGGCTCCATTCCGGCCGCCGGCAGCTTGCCTTTCCTCCCTCTGGCCGCGGGGGCCCCTGCAGGGAGGGGTACCAGTGATGGAACAAGCGGGAGCTGCCCTGTGGGGCGGGGCAGGTCTGGGGATCCCAGGGTGGGCCAGGGCTGCGTCCGGGTTCTGAAGCCAGGTCAGGGCAGGTCTGGGGTCGGGGCAGATCTGGAATGGGGGGCAGGTCTAGGGTGGGAGGGGAGTGGGGCAGGTCTGGGGTTGGGGGAGAGCGGGTGGAAAGTCTGGGGTAGGCGGGAGGCCTGGGGTTGGGGAGTCAGGTCTGGGATTGGGGGGCAGGTCTGGGGTTCCAAAAGGGAGGAGATCTCGGGTTCCAAGGACAGAAAGGAGGTGGGCAAGCCTGGAGCCCCAAGGGGAGTGGGAGGGCGGGTCAGGGGTGGAGGGGTGGAGGAGTGGGCAGGTCTGGCGTTGGGTGAAGGTCTGGAGTTCCGAAGGGGGTGGACTAGAATCCCGCGGCGGGCGGGGCGGGGGGGGGGGGGGGGGCCGGGGCGGGGTCCCGTCTGGGATGCGCAGGGAGCAGAGGCCGGTTCCGAGGGGAGGTGGGACCCGTGCTCACCCGGGACCGGCCCCGAGGCGCGCGCTGCGCCTCTGCCCCTCGCCGCACCGCCCTGTGTCCCGCGGTTGCCCGGAGCAACGGGCCGGGGCCGCTGGGGGCGCAAGCGGCCGGCGCGGGGCGTGGGGCTGCGCGGGCGCGCTGGCGGCTGGGGGCGGCGGGCGCGGCTCCGGCGGCGGCGGCGTTGCGCGCGGGGCGCGGGCTGCGACGGGCCGCAGTCGGCAGCGCTCTGGCTGGGGCTGGGGCCGGGTTCGGGGCGGGGGCCGGGGCGTGGGACCGCGCGGGCCATGGTGTCCGCGGAGAGCAGTGGCCGCCCCGGCCCCGCCCGGGGAACCGCAGTCCCGCCCCGCGCCCGGCTGTCGAGGTTACACGGACCCGCCCGGTATTCGGAGCCCCCAAGTCATAAAGACCCGAGGGTCACAACCGGCCCCCAGTGACCAGCCCGGCCGCCGAGCAGGCTCCGCCCGCCACCCTCCCGGCCCGCCTCTTTACCCCCACCCCGGGCCTCCCCCCAGCGCCCCCATCCCGCGCCGGCCTCGGGTCGGAGACGGCGCGCACAGTCCGCGCGGGGGGATGCGGGGCCGAGGGCTGCGGGCGGTCCGGGCGGCCGGGGCAGCTCCCTGTCCCGTGGAGCGACTCGGGGCGGCCTCGCGTCTCCAGGGTCACTCATGGGGCCCACGCCACCGCCAGGGTGTCCCAAGCGCACCCAGGTACCCCGCCCCCCAGCTGCCCCCGACTCCTCCTGCACTCGGTTTCCTTCTTGGTCGCTGCCTCTCAACCGGCATCTTTGTGGAGGGAAGACCCACCCAGCTCATGAGTCACTTTCTGAAACCTAGATGTCATCTCTATTTTGCATTTAACTTCCCAAGATAGCCCAAAAGTGTGGTTCTGCTCCCACTTTGAAGCAGCCGTGGAGACTCTGCGGGTGGGCGGTTCTCCTGGGTGGGGATGGGTCCCTCATGCCCCCTTCCCGTGTTCACCCAAGGAAAGCCACTGGCTCTCACCAGATGCCACCTCCAGGCTGGCCTCAGGGCATACATAAATCGTAAATAAATTAAAAGGTGGCCCTCTCCTCCACCCGGCCTCCTGTGCTCTCCCTCATAGCTTCTTCAGAACCCAGGCAAGGAGACACCTGAGACACAATTAAACAGGCCTCGGCCACGTTTACATGTTAGCATTTATTGTTCAGGGAGCGTTAAACTGTGTCAAACAAAAATGTCAATTGACAGAGACAGAATTATAAGTTTTTTAAATGCCATTTGTCTGGAGTTTTCAAGCTCTCTCTAACATAAGAAAGTGCGAGCCAGTATTAAGCCCTGGGCACCTAATTCTGGCTCTAAGACTCAGGCTTTCCGGACCCCAAGAAGATGCAGTGTTGCCCGCGCTGCCCCTGGGGCTCCCATCGCAGGCCCCGGAGCAGCTGCCACCTGCTGGGAGCCACGGGAAGGGATGTGGCCCTGCTGCCGTGGGGTCTGCAGGAGAGACGCCTCCTGCGTGCACATTGCTGGGGACATGGCGAAGGCATTTGCAGCCCAGCCCCTCACGCTGTCCTTGCTTTCTGCAGCTGCCGAGGACAGCAGAGGGGCTGGTCTGGCCCCTCACAGAGCAACGTCAGAGTACCCGCCGTTCAAGTGTCTCACCTGCGCTCCTGCTGACTGAAAATGATGACCCACTTGTCACAAGTGCTGTGAGGATACCCTGGAGCCAGTCACTCCTGCTCAAAAGTGAGAAACCAGGGAGGCTCCTCGAATTCCCTCGCCAGGTCTAGACGGCCAGCCCAAGGCTGCGTGAATGTCCCTCAACTTAGTAAAGAGCAAAGTTAGCGTCTCCCAGCACGGTGCTGCTCACCTCCTGCTACAGAAGGAAAAAAACAACCCCTGCGATGTAAGTGCTGCCCGAAAGCAACTCCTACAGCCGTGGACACTGCGCTCTTACAAGGGCGCCCGACTCCTGGAGTTACTAGCCCTTCTCAGCTAACAGTTCTTCTAGAAGATTCCAGGTGAACTCAGGGACAGGAAGATGGCACACAAACTAATTCTTGGCTATTACTTTAACCAAAACAAATGTTATTCTCACACCCAAACCGTCCCTGCTGTCTGGCAGGGGGCAGGGGCAGACAGAGGGGACGCCTAGTCTGGGATAGATCTCCGGTGAGTAAGGATCAGGTACCTACTTGTTAGGAGACAGAGGGCTGGAAAAGGCCCCGGGACGCCCGTGAGGATTCCTGCACTCTAGCCAAGTACTGGGAGTGGGAGCAGAGCCACCACGGCAGGAGAGAGGGCCCAGCCTTGCCCAGGTCCCCAAGGCCATCGAGACACTGAGAAGTGGTCCAGCTGGTTTTCAAAGCCTTAGACACAGCCCCACCCAAAGAACACTGCACTGTCACAGCAGACAGGGGTCCATCTGCGTGTGGGTGTTGACAACGGGCTCAGGAGCTGGGGACCCAGGGACATGTGCAGACTGAGCAGCTGCTGAGCTGGGTCTCCACACGCCATGCAGGACACACGGACACAGACCAGTGCCACTGAGCAGATGGGGTCCTTCCCAAATAACTCGGCTTGAGTAAGAAGGGAGGGCAGGCTGGGACCATGGATTCACGTAGGCAGAGCCCTGTGCAGGGGGTGGGGCTGCTGGTCAAGGAGACAGTGCCCAGCAGGCTTGGCTCCTCCATCTGAGCACCTCTCGGAAGAGAAACGCCAAAATGGGTGCATCCACACAGGGCTGAGCACAGAATGTCTACTGGCTGGATACAATATGTGCTCACCAAAGTGGGCAGGGCAGCCGGCCACAAAATGGAAACCCAGAGATCCAAGTCTCCCTGAACAGCAGCGCCTGGATGGTCCAGCTCCACCCTGAGCCCCTTCCCACCTGGGGGCTGGGGCCACTGCCCCTGTGGTCGGGCCACGTTGGGAGCACTGAACTCACCATCCAATAAGCACAAATGGTCAACATTTGCCTATTTCAAAATTAAACTAATAACAAGTGAAAACCACCTGAAGCCCGGCCCACCCTCACAAGGGGAAGGGCGAGTTGGAAAGGAGGGGCTTGGGGACACCAGTCTGCAACTCAGGGTGCTGGGGCCAGGCCGGCCCACGCTCAGGCTCCCCTCCCGCGTCACTGGGCCATTTGCACCACGACAGCTCTCCAGGCTTTCTCCTTGTCAAACTCCTTCAGGGGGCTTCTGGACACCTGTGATCAAGACAGGCAAAGCGTTATTTCTCCACGGCCAGCCATGTGCAGGACGGTAGGGAGGAAAGCTCTATCAATTTGAGAGCTTTTCTCAGCCGTGAAAGAAGGGACCTGGGGGAGGAAAGAGAGAGGGAGATGGAGGCCTCTGCGCCTCCACTCTCTCACAGGTGCGGGTGCCTCTGCCCACGTCCACACTTTGTCTCTGCCGTCCTCCACAGGAATGGAGGCTGGGCTGGGGTGGGGGCTGCCATGGGTGGGCACTTGCCTCAGTCGAGGAGGACCTCGGTGGAATCCCCACCTGCTCCTCCTGCCGGTTCCCCGTGGGCAGGGCTGCTTCCCAGCAGTGGCAGAGCAAGTGTCTGCATCCAGCAGGTACTCAATAAGTAAATACTCACTGACTGTGGGAATGATACACTCCACAATGTGAGAATAAATGGGCAGGGGGGCAGGGGCAGGGTGAGGACCTCCAAGCTCTTCCTGGGGGCAGGGGACGGATACCCTACCGAGAAGGGGTCTGACCTGGCCCAGAAGGTGTGAAGGCAGCAGCCAAGGGCCTGACCCCTAGGGAAGGAGGACACTAAGGCAGCTGTTGGGCCCGGCCCCGAGCCCCTGGAAGTGGCAGTTCTGGAACCTGGTGGGAGGGCTCATTCACCTGACTCTGCATCTTGGTGTCCCCACACAGAACCAGGTCCATCTCACATAGGGCTGGGGACAAAGCCACCCCCACAGGAGACTGACCACAGCTGGATGAAAATGACAATGTGTGAGAAGAGCGACGAAGGAACAGTGCTGGGAAGGATGGGGAACATCCAGGTCACTGAGGAAGGGTTGGTGGCAGGAGCACACCCCTAGGAAGAGCGGGGATCAGCCCAGGCAGTGGCCCGGCGAGTACGAAGGCCCAGAGGCCAGCAGCGCCAGGTGTGTTCCAGGATGCCAGCCGGTGTTGTGCAGAACCCAGGGGAGCAGGACATGAGGCCATCAGGGGTGGGAGGAGCATCCCGTCCACCCCAGTGGCCCTGGAGGGCCCTGCAGCAGCCTCCCGGGCACAGGGCACCGTGCACCTGATGGCAACGCTGACCCCCCAGGCTTTCAGTTGTGGGGGGATGAGAGGCAGGCCCTGGGGAGAGTACCATCCAAGTGGCCTGGAGCCTGGCAGAGGGGCTGGTGCAACTCCTTCCAGAGCCTGCCGCCAGAGGTCATTAATGCCACATCTGTAGGCAGCTGGATGGGAGCCCTGTTCCCAGGAGAGCCGTGTCCCCAAGAGGGCCCAGAAAAGGACCCTCTGTGACCTGTTCAAACCTTTGCAAAGTTTTCTTCTACATTTTTAAGAGTAAAACTAAAAGCATTCAGGCCTTAATATTTTTTCAGAAATGAATTTGTGTTTCCCTAGCTAGCTTTAAAAAAGGTATTGTATGTTTTACTTCTTCAAGATTTTTCCGGAGTGTTTCAAAAAATACAAAGTGACACACGGTCTTGAAAGAAGTCAGCAATAGTAGGTTGTCATTTTGCATGGGGCCCTGGTGGCCGCCCCCCCAGGACAGGGAGGTTGCCCTCTCCAAGACCACTCACCTCTCCCGACGGGCACTCCTGCTGGCCAGGCTGCGTCGCGTCCCAGGATGCGCCCACCTTGAAGCTCACGCATTGGAGGACGGTGCCTGTGTTGAGGCTTGCCTGTAGCAGCAGCTCCAGCATCAGAAGCAGCAAGAGCACGTCGTAGGATTGCTGGCAACGAAAACAAGGTGCATCAGCGCAGCGCCCTAACCCCCCATCCTGGCTCTCCGCTGCCCCAGGCCCCACTCCAACCAAGGAAACAATGCAAAAGCTTCTCTGTGCCCGTGGCCTGTGGACATCCCGCTTCCAAAGAGTGGAATTCGAGTCCTTGAGTGAGTCTCTGTCTAACAGTTTCAGGTACATTCACTCCCGGGCCCTTCCAGCCCAGCTGTGTCCTATCATTTCACAACCGAGTAGCCATCACTCGGTCAGCGAACGAGAATGAGGACGTCAATTCTGCTATAAGTTCTCTTGTCCCGGGTTTCACAGATAGGCACAAAAACGACCCGCAGGCGGCCAAGCCCTGCGGATACTGCTGGCTGCTCACGGTCAAGTCTTCCACACCCCCAACAGCCTCGGGTCAACGAGGGAGCCAGGAAAAACACTGGTGGCCACGCCAAGGGTGTCCGTATGGGACAGAAGCGACCGGTTATGTATAAGCAGGAAACATGCTCTCGAGATTGGCAGTCTGCTCTGGTGGGCCCTGAGCCGGAGGAAGAAGACTGACCCCATGCCGGGGCCCCAGGACACAGGCGCCATCAATGGATAAGCCTCAGCTCAGGCTGGAGGTTGCTGGAGAGGAGCGGGTCTGAGGAGCGCCCTAGACCAGAGCGAGCGACGGCGGGCGGGGGGGGGGGCCCGCAGACTCCTGCAGGCCAGAGACGCGCCCGCTCCTCACTGACCACAGAGGAAGCCCCAGCAGCCACAGAGACACCGGCAAAACACCGCGCCCTCCCACGCGCACCCCACCCCGCCCCGCCCCATGCCACGCTTCATGTGCACCCCACCCCACACGCACCCCACCCCGCCCCACTCCCCTCCCCACACGCACCCACCCACCCCCAGCACACCCCACGCGCACCCCACCCCGCGCCACGCCGGTGGCCGTCCCAGCCTCCAAAATACAAAGCAACTGAATGGTAACACAAAAAAGAACCCAACACCCATACAGTATCACCGCTACAAAAAAGAAACAATAACAGCTCTCCTCGAGTTAATGTATAAAGTTAATGGCGAGTCCAATAATAAAAAACTGCAACGTTGGGCTTTCTGGAGCCAGGCAAGTGGATTCTCGAATTAACACCGAAAAGCAAACAAGGAACAAAGGCCAGGTGCCCACCCCTGCCGAGCAGAGCATGAGTGTGGGCACCAACCGCCGGGTGGTGAAGCCTGTCGTGGACGCGCCACAATCCGACGCATGTCGCACGTGCACGACCCGCTGATGGCGGGGAAGGCTGAGGGCAGGAGCAGGCCCACAGCCAGACAGGCTGAGCACGCGGCGAAGGCGGCGCCTCGAACGACTGAGGAAAACAGGGGCTTTCTAATAAAGGGTGTTTGAACCACTGAAGAGCCATCTGAGAAAAGATGAAGTTGGGTTCATTCTCTATGCTGAGCTCCAGGATAAACTCCAGCTGGAAACGCAAGTACTAGCCTTTCTAATTACAACTTAAACCCAGAAGCAACAAAGGAGAATACTGATAAATTTAACTACATAAAAACAAAAAAAACTTCCACATGACAAAAATCACAACAAGCAGAATGAACAACTGCCAAGCTGAGGCCATTATTTGCATTTTTGTTAAGAGGACTGGTCTCCCTAATTTAGCAGAGTTCTCAAAGCCTACCAGAAAATGGGAAAAAGACACTCACAGGATTTCCTGGAGAAGACACCCAAACACCATCATACTAGGCGCTTGTCACCACCACTCACATTCAAAGAGATGCACAGTACAGATGCACCCGTGTTACAAAACTCAGTGTGACAACCCTGTGTGGGGCCACGGAAAAACAAGGAAATGGGACCCCCGCAAGGGGGATTTGTTGAGATCTAACAAACCCTAGAAGCATCTACCCTGGGACCCAGCAACCCCTCTCCTAGCTAACTGTCCTAAAGATGCACCACACAGACTCGAAACCAAGAGTCGTCATTCCTGACAGCAGACGGCTGGGAGTAACCCTGTCTCCATCACCAGGGACTGGTCGGGCGGGCTGGGCCACATTGGAGTGTGCATTCGTGATTAAAGGACACAGCTCTGACGCCTCTGGGTCCTGGGGAAACACCAGGACAGATTAGTAAGTCTAAAAAAAGAAAGAAAAAGCAAGATGCAGAGAGGTGTTTAGAGTGTGGGGGCTGCTCTGTAAGAAGGAAGGAAAATGAAAATAAGCCGGCACCTGCAAGAGGAGCAGGGAGCCAGTGACGGGCC